TCTAACTCACACGTGGTAGCTATCTCTAACTCACACGGGGTAGCTATCTCTAACTCACATGGTGTAGCTATCTCTAACTCACATGGGGTAGCTATCTCTAACTCACACGGGGTAGCTGTCTCTAACTCACACGGTGTAGCTATCTCTAACTCACACGGGGTAGCTATCTCTAACTCACATGGTGTAGCTATCTCTAACTCACACGTGGTAGCTATCTCTAACTCACATGGGGTAGCTATCTCTAACTCACATGGGTAGCTATCTCTAACTCACACGGGGTAGCTGTCTCTAACTCACACGGGGTAGCTATCTCTAACTCACACGGGGTAGCTATCTCTAACTCACACGGGTAGCTATCTCTAACTCACACGGGGTAGCTATCTCTAACTCACACGGGGTAGCTGTCTCTAACTCACACGGGGTAGCTATCTCTAACTCACACGGGGTAGCTATCTCTAACTCACACGGGGTAGCTGTCTCTAACTCACACGGGGTAGCTATCTCTAACTCACACGGGGTAGCTGTCTCTAACTCACACGGGGTAGCTATCTCTAACTCACACGGGGTAGCTGTCTCTAACTCACACGGGGTAGCTATCTCTAACTCACACGGGGTAGCTGTCTCTAACTCACACGGTGTAGCTATCTCTAATTCACATGGGGTAGCTGTCTCTAACTCACACAGTGTAGCTATCTCTAACTCACATGGGGTAGCTGTATCTAACTAACACGGGGTAGCTGTCTCTAACTCACATGGGGTAGCTATCTGTAACTTACACGGTGTAGCTATCTCTAACTCACACGGGGTAGCTGTCTCTAACTCACACGGGGTAGCTATCTCTAACTCACATGGGGTAGCTATCTCTAACTCACATGGTGTAGCTATCTCTAACTCACACAGGGTAGCTATCTCTAACTCACACAGGTTAGCTATCTCTATCTCACACGGGGTGGCTATCTCTAACTCACACGGGGTAGCTATCTCTAACTCACACGGGGTAGCTGTCTCTAACTCACACGGGGTAGCTGTCTCTAACTCACACGGGGTAGCTGTCTCTAACTCACATGGTGTAGCTATCTCTAACTCACATGGGGTAGCTATCTCTAACTCACACGGGGTAGCTATCTCTAACTCACACAGGGTAGCTATCTCTAACTCACACAGGGTAGCTATCTCTAACTCACACGGTGTAGCTATCTCTAACTCACACAGGGTAGCTATCTCTAACTCACACGGTGTAGCTGTCTCTAACTCACACGGGGTAGCTATCTCTAACTCACATGGGGTAGCTATCTCTATCTCACACGGGGTAGCTATCTCTAACTCACACGGGGTAGCTATCTCTAACTCACACGGGGTAGCTATCTCTAACTCACACGGGGTAGCTATCTCTAACTCACACAGGGTAGCTGTCTCTAACTCACACGGGGTAGCTATCTCTAACTCACACAGGGTAGCTGTCTCTAACTCACACGGGGTAGCTATCTCTAACTCACACGGTGTAGCTATCTCTAACTCACACGGGGTAGCTATCTCTATCTCACACGGGGTAGCTGTCTCTAACTCACACGGGGTAGCTATCTCTAACTCACACAGGGTAGCTATCTCTAACTCACACGGGGTAGCTGTCTCTAACTCACACGGGGTAGCTATCTCTAACTCACTTGGGGTGGCTGTCTCTAACTCACACTGGGTAGCTATCTCTAACTCACACAGGGTAGCTATCTCTAACTCACACTGGGTAGCTATCTCTATCTCACACGGGGTAGCTATCTCTAACTCACATGGGGTAGCTATCTCTAACTCACACGGGGTAGCTATCTCTAACTCACACGGTGTAGCTATCTCTAACTCACACAGGGTAGCTATCTCTAACTCACACGTGGTAGCTATCTCTAACTCACACGTGGTAGCTATCTCTAACTCACACGGTGTAGCTATCTCTAACTCACACGGTGTAGCTATCTCTAACTCACACAGGGTAGCTATCTCTAACTCACACGGGGTAGCTATCTCTAACTCACACGGGGTAGCTATCTCTAACTCACACGGGGTAGCTGTCTCTAACTCACACGGTGTAGCTATCTCTAACTCACCCAGGGTAGCTATCTCTAACTCACCCAGGGTAGCTATCTCTAACTCACATGGTGTAGCTATCTCTATCTCACACCTGGTAGCTATCTCTAACTCACATGGTGTAGCTATCTCTAACTCACACGGGGTGGCTATCTCTAACTCACACGGGGTAGCTATCTCTATCTCACACAGGGTAGCTATCTCTAACTCACACGGGGTAGCTATCTCTAACTCACACGGTGTAGCTATCTCTAACTCACACAGGGTAGCTGTCTCTATCTCACATGGTGTAGTTATCTCTAACTCACATGGGGTAGCTATCTCTAACTCACATGGGGTAGCTATCTCTAACTCACACGGGGTAGCTATCTATAACTCACAGGGGTAGCTATCTCTAACTCACACGGGGTAGCTATCTATATCTCACACGGTGTAGCTATCTCTAACTCACACAGGGTAGCTATCTCTAACTCACATGGTGTAGCTATCTCTAACTCACACAGGGTAGCTATCTCTAACTCACATGGGATAGCTATCTCTAACTCACATGGTGTAGCTATCTCTAACTTACACGGTGTAGCTATCTCTAACTCACACGGGGTAGCTATCTCTAACTCACACGGGGTAGCTATCTCTAACTCACACAGGGTAGCTATCTCTAACTCACACGGGGTAGCTATCTCTAACTCACACGGGGTAGCTATCTCTAACTCACACAGTGTAGCTATCTCTAACTCACACAGGGTAGCTATCTCTAACTCACACGGTGTAGCTGTCTCTAACTCACATGGGGTAGCTATCTCTAACTCACATGGTGTAGCTATCTCTAACTCACACGGTGTAGCTATCTCTAACTCACACAGGGTAGCTGTCTCTATCTCACATGGTGTAGTTATCTCTAACTCACATGGGGTAGCTATCTCTAACTCACATGGGGTAGCTATCTCTAACTCACACGGGGTAGCTATCTATAACTCACAGGGGTAGCTATCTCTAACTCACACGGGGTAGCTATCTATATCTCACACGGTGTAGCTATCTCTATCTCACACAGGGTAGCTATCTCTAACTCACATGGTGTAGCTATCTCTAACTCACACAGGGTAGCTATCTCTAACTCACATGGGATAGCTATCTCTAACTCACTTGGTGTAGCTATCTCTAACTTACACGGTGTAGCTATCTCTAACTCACACGGGGTAGCTATCTCTAACTCACACGGGGTAGCTATCTCTAACTCACACAGGGTAGCTATCTCTAACTCACACGGGGTAGCTATCTCTAACTCACACAGGGTAGCTATCTCTAACTCACACGGTGTAGCTGTCTCTAACTCACATGGGGTAGCTATCTCTAACTCACATGGGGTAGCTATCTCTAACTCACACAGTGTAGCTATCTCTAACTCACAAGGGGTAGCTATCTCTAACTCACATGGGGTAGCTATCTCTAACTCACATGGTGTAGCTATCTCTAACTCACACAGGGTAGCTATCTCTAACTCACATGGGATAGCTATCTCTAACTCACATGGTGTAGCTATCTCTAACTTACACGGTGTAGCTATCTCTAACTCACACGGGGTAGCTATCTCTAACTCACACGGGGTAGCTATCTCTAACTCACACAGGGTAGCTATCTCTAACTCACACGGGGTAGCTATCTCTAACTCACACGGGGTAGCTATCTCTAACTCACACAGTGTAGCTATCTCTAACTCACACAGGGTAGCTATCTCTAACTCACACGGTGTAGCTGTCTCTAACTCACATGGGGTAGCTATCTCTAACTCACATGGGGTAGCTATCTCTAACTCACACGGGGTGGCTATCTCTAACTCACATGGTGTAGCTATCTCTAACTCACACGGTGTAGCTATCTCTATCTCACATGGGGTAGCTGTCTCTAACTCACACGGCTTCTGGCTCGGGGGTCCGGCTTCTATCTCCCAGTCCCGGGGCTCCTCCGTCCCTAGCCACACCTCCCCGTCTCGAGCCTTTGGGAAGGACCTGGTCCTGGTCCCGTGGATCCCCCAGCCCCCTCTTTGGGGGGCTCCCGGGCTGGTACCTCCGGTTCACCAGGCCCCTCCGGATTCATCCGGAGTGCCATGGGCCCCCCCCCGTCACCCCTGGGCCCCCCCCCCACCCCCCCCAGGCGTGTCGCCCCCTAGCCCTCGGGGGCCGACGCTGCACATGGAGGGGCAATGCCCTACGGCTGCCGTGCTGTGGGTGGTGTGAGCAACACGTCTCGTGCTTGACATCGCCCCCCTCGCTCCCCGTGTCTCCTCCCCCTCTGTCTCCTCCCACTCCGTGTCCCCTCCTCCTTCGTGACTCCTCCTCCTTCGTGACTCCTCCCCCTCTGTGTCTCCTCCCCCTCCCCGTGTCTCCTCCCCCTCCCCGTGTCTCCTCCCCCTCTGTGTCTCCTCCCACTCCGTGACCCCTCCCCCTTCGTGACTCCTCCCCCTTCGTGTGTCTCCTCCCCCTTCGTGACTCCTCCCCCTCTGTGTCCCCTCCCCCTCCGTGTCTCCTCCCCCTCCCCTTGTCTCCTCCCCCTCCCCGTGTCTCCTCCCCCTTCGTGACTCCTCCCCCTCCCCGTGTCTCCTCCCCCTTCGTAACTCCTCCACCTCTGTGTCTCCTCCCCCTTCGTGTCTCCTCCCCCTCCCCTTGTCTCCTCCCCCCCCGTGTCTCCTCCCCCTCCCGTGTCTCCTCCCCCTTCGTGTCTCCTCCCCCTCCCCTTGTCTCCTCCCCCTTCGTAACTCCTCCCCCTCTGTGTCTCCTCCCCCTTCGTGTCTCCTCCCCCTCCGTGTGTCTCCTCCCCCTCCCCGTGTCTCCTCCTCCTCCGTGTCTCCTCCCCCCCCTCCCCCGTGTCTCCTCCCCTCCCCGTGTCTCTCTCTCTCCCCGTGTCTCTCTCTGCGTGTGTTGTAGGTTCGGGGAGAAGGGCGAGGCGATCCGGATCGAGAAGGTGATCTTCACGGGCAAGGAGGGGCGCAGCTCACAGGGATGCCCCATCGCCAAGTGGGTGAGTTCCAGATCTGTGCTGGTGGTGGTGATGGTGGTGATGGTGGTGATGGTGGTGATGGTGATGGTGGTGGTGGTGGTGATGGTGGTGGTGGTGATGGTGGTGGTGGTGGTGATGGTGAAACTGTGGTGGTGGTGGTGGTGATGGTGATGGTGGTGGTGATGGTGGTGGTGGTGGTGGTGATGGTGGTGGTGATGGTGGTGGTGATGGTGGTGGTGATGGTGATGGTGGTGGTGGTGGTGGTGATGGTGGTGGTGATGGTGGTGGTGAAGCTGTGGTGGTGATGGTGGTGGTGAAACTGTGGTGGTGATGGTGGTGGTGGTGGTGATGGTGGTGGTGGTGGTGATGGTGGTGATGATGGTGGTGATGGTGGTGGTGGTGGTGATGAAACTGTGGTGGTGATGGTGGTGGTGGTGGTGGTGATGAAACTGTGGTGGTGATGGTGGTGGTGAAGCTGTGGTGATGGTGGTAGTGATGGTGGTGGTGATGGTGGTGGTGATGGTGAAGCTGTGGTGGTGATGGTGAAGCTGCGGTGGTGGTGGTGGTGATGGTGATGGTGGTGGTGATGATGGTGGTGGTGATGGTGGTGGTGATGGTGAAGCTGTGGTGGTGATGGTGGTGGTGGTGGTGGTGATGGTGATGGTGGTGGTGTGGTGGTGGTGGTGATGGTGGTGGTGATGGTGGTGGTGATGGTGGTGGTGATGGTGATGGTGAAGCTGTGGTGATGGTGGTGGTGATGGTGGTGGTGATGGTGAAGCTGTGGTGGTGATGGTGATGGTGAAGCTGTGGTGGTGAAACTGTGATGGTGGTGAAACTTTGCTGGTGGTGATGGTGAAACTGTGGTGGTGGTGATGGTGGTGAAACTGTGATGGTGGTGATGGTGAAACTGTGGTGGTGGTGATGGTGGTGAAACTGTGATGGTGGTGATGGTGAAACTGTGGTGGTAGTGATGGTGAAACTGTGATGGTGAAACTGTGGTGGTGATGGTGAAGCTGTGATGGTGGTGGTGGTGGTGGAACTGTGGTAGTGGTGATGGTGAAACTGTGGTGGTGGTGGTGGTGGTGAATCTGTGATGGTGGTGATGGTGAAACTGTGGTGGTGGTGGTGATAGTGGTCGTGATGATGATGATGATAGTGGTCGTGATGATGATGATGATGATAGTGGTCGTGATGACGATGATGATAGTGGTCGTGATGATGATGATAGTGGTCGTGATGGTGATGATGATAGTGGTCGTGATGATGATGATGATGATAGTGGTCGTGATGATGATGATGATAGTGGTCGTGATGATGATGATGATAGTGGTCGTGATGATGATGATGATAGTGGTCGTGATGACGATGATGATAGTGGTCATGATGATGATGATAGTGGTCGTGATGATGGTGATGATGATAGTGGTCGTGATGATGATGATGATAGTGGTCGTGATGAAACTGTGGTGATGATAGTAGTTGGTGGGAATGATGAAACGGTGACGGTGATGGTGATAGTGGTGATGATAGTTGTTTTGGTGGTGGTGGTGATACTGTGCTAGCTTGCTGAATTATTTTTAGTTGTTGGCACAGGTGGTGCATCAGTTAACCCATGACACCCGCTCGGTCTGTCCCGTGACCTCCTGCCAGCGGGCGTTCGACACTTGACGTGGCCTTAATGTGCACGTAGCCTGGCACAGGCACCGTTGTGACATCACTGTCACGTAGTTGGCGAATGGCGGTTGTTGTTGTTGTTGTTGTTGGTGGTGGTGGTGGTACTCGTGTGTGTGTTGAACTTCTTTCGCACCATTACGTAGCCAACCATGCTAATCGGGGGTTGTGTACGGTGTAGTGTGTAGCAGTGTAGTGTATAACAGTGTGGATGTACGTGCGTTGTTGAGCCTCTTTCATACCGCACGTAGCCAACTGCGCCAATTGGAGGTGTGGGCGGGAAGGTGGTGATGGTGGCGATGATGTAGAATCGTCTCAATCCAGGCTTAAGAGACTCAAGAGTTGGACCGCTGATGAGACGCTGAATGTCGAAACCCGGTCTCTCTTCATGTCTCTCTCTCTGCCCCCATCTCTCTGTCTCCCCGTGTCCCTCTCTACCCCCAATCTCTCCCCCATCTCTCGACCCCATCTCCCCCATCCATCTCTCTCCCTCTCCCCCATCTCTCTCCCCCAATCTCTCCCCCATCTCTCCCCCATCTCCCCCCCATCTCCCCCCTATCTCTCTACCCCATCTCCCCCATCCATGTCTCTCCCTCTCCCCCGTCTCTCTCTCTCCCTCTCCCCCATCTCTCTCTCTCCCCATCTCCCCCATCCATCTCTCCCTATCTCCCCCATCCATCTCTCTCCCTCTCCCCATCTCTCTCTCTCCCCATCTCCCCCATCCATCTCTCTCCCTCTCCCCCATCTCTCTCTCTCCCCATCTCCCCCATCCATCTCTCTCTCTCCCCATCTCCCCCATCCATCTCTCTCCCTCTCCCCCATCCATCTCTCTCCCCATCTCCCCCATCCATCTCTCTCCCTCTCCCCCGTCTCTCTCTCTCTCCATCTCCCCCATCCATCTCTCTCCCCATCTCCCCCATCCCTCTCTCTCCCTCTCCCCCATCTCTCTCTCTCCCCATCTCCCCCATCCATCTCTCTCTCTCCCCATCTCCCCCATCCATCTCTCTCCCTCTCCCCCGTCTCTCTCTCCCCATCTCCCCCATCCATCTCTCTCCCCATCTCCCCCATCCATCTCTCTCCCCATCTCCCCCATCCATCTCTCTCCCTCTCCCCCATCTCTCTCTCTCCCCATCTCCCCCATCCATCTCTCTCTCACCCCATCTCCCCCATCCATCTCTCTCCCTCTCCCCCGTCTCTCTCTCCCCATCTCCCCCATCCATCTCTCTCCCCATCTCCCCCATCCATCTCTCTCCCTCTCCCCCATCTCTCTCTCTCCCCATCTCCCCCATCCATCTCTCTCTCTCCCCATCTCCCCCATCCATCTCTCTCCCTCTCCCCCATCCATCTCTCTCCCCATCTCCCCCATCCATCTCTCTCCCTCTCCCCCGTCTCTCTCTCTCTCCATCTCCCCCATCCATCTCTCTCCCCATCTCCCCCATCCATCTCTCTCCCTCTCCCCCCTCTCTCTCTCTCCCCATCTCCCCCATCCATCTCTCTCTCTCCCCATCTCCCCCATCCATCTCTCTCCCTCTCCCCCGTCTCTCTCTCTCCATCTCCCCCATCCATCTCTCTCCCCATCTCCCCCATCCATCTCTCTCCCCATCTCCCCCATCCATCTCTCTCCCTCTCCCCATCTCTCTCTCTCCCCATCTCCCCCATCCATCTCTCTCTCTCCCCATCTCCCCCATCCATCTCTCTCCCTCTCCCCCGTCTCTCTCTCCCCATCTCCCCCATCCATCTCTCTCCCCATCTCCCCCATCCATCTCTCTCCCTCTCCCCCATCTCTCTCTCTCCCCATCTCCCCCATCCATCTCTCTCTCTCCCCATCTCCCCCATCCATCTCTCTCCCTCTCCCCCATCCATCTCTCTCCCCATCTCCCCCATCCATCTCTCTCCCCATCACCCCCATCCATCTCTCTCCCTCTCCCCCGTCTCTCTCTCTCTCCATCTCCCCCATCCATCTCTCTCCCCATCTCCCCCATCCATCTCTCTCCCTCTCCCCCATGTCTCTCTCTCCCTCTCCCCCATCCATCTCTCTCTCTCTCCATCTCCCCCATCCATCTCTCTCCCCATCTCCCCCATCCATCTCTCTCCCTCTCCCCCATCTCTCTCTCTCCCCATCTCCCCCATCCATCTCTCTCCCTCTCCCCCGTCTCTCTCTCTCTCCCTCTCCCCCATCCATCTCTCTCCACCCCCCCCCCCCCCATCTCTCTCTCTCCCCATCTCCCCCATCCATCTCTCTCCCTCTCCCCCGTCTCTCTCTCTCCATCTCCCCCATCCATCTCTCTCCCCATCTCCCCCATCCATCTCTCTCTCTCTCCATCTCCCCCATCCATCTCTCTCCACCTCCCCATCTCTCTCTCTATCTCTCTCTCTCCCCATCTCCCCCATCCATCTCTCTCCCTCTCCCCCATCTCTCTCTCTCCCCATCTCCCCCATCCATCTCTCTCTCTCCCCATCTCCCCCATCCATCTCTCTCCCTCTCCCCCGTCTCTCTCTCTCTCCATCTCCCCCATCCATCTCTCTCCCCATCTCCCCCATCCATCTCTCTCCCTCTCCCCCGTCTCTCTCTCTCTCCATCTCCCCCATCCATCTCTCTCCCCATCTCCCCCATCCATCTCTCTCCCTCTCCCCCATCTCTCTCTCTCCCCATCTCCCCCATCCATCTCTCTCTCTCCCCATCTCCCCCATCCATCTCTCTCCCTCTCCCCCGTCTCTCTCTCTCCATCTCCCCCATCCATCTCTCTCCCCATCTCTCCCATCCATCTCTCTCCATCTCCCCCATCCATCTCTCTCCACCTCCCCATCTCTCTCTCTATCTCTCTCTCTCCCCATCTCCCCCATCCCTCTCTCTCCACCCCCCATCTCTCTCTCTCCCCATCTCCCCCATCCATCTCTCTCCCTCTCACCCATCACTCCCCCCATCTCTCTCCCCCAATCTCTCCCCCATCTCTCTCCCCCATCTCCCCCCCATCTCCCCCATATCTTTCTACCCCATCTCCTCCATCCATCTCTCTCCACCCCCCCATCTCTCTCTCTCTCTCCATCTCTCCCCTCCCTCTCTCTCCCTCTCCCCATCTCTCTCTCTCTCGCCATCTCCCCCATCCATCTCTCTCCCTCTCCCCATCTCTCTCTCTCTCGCCATCTCCCCCATCCATCTCTCTCCCTCTCCCCCGTCTCTCTCTCTCTCCATCTCCCCCATCCATCTCTCTCCCCATCTCCCCCATCCATCTCTCTCCCTCTCCCCCATGTCTCTCTCTCCCTCTCCCCCATCCATCTCTCTCTCTCTCCATCTCCCCCATCCATCTCTCTCCCCATCTCCCCCATCCATCTCTCTCCCTCTCCCCCATCTCTCTCTCTCCCCATCTCCCCCATCCATCTCTCTCCCTCTCCCCCATCTCTCTCTCTCTCCCTCTCCCCCATCCATCTCTCTCCACCCCCCCCCCCCCATCTCTCTCTCTCCCCATCTCCCCCATCCATCTCTCTCCCTCTCCCCCGTCTCTCTCTCTCCATCTCCCCCATCCATCTCTCTCCCCATCTCCCCCATCCATCTCTCTCTCTCTCCATCTCCCCCATCCATCTCTCTCCACCTCCCCATCTCTCTCTCTATCTCTCTCTCTCCCCATCTCCCCCATCCATCTCTCTCCCTCTCCCCCATCTCTCTCTCTCCCCATCTCCCCCATCCCTCTCTCTCTCTCCCCATCTCCCCCATCCATCTCTCTCCCTCTCCCCCGTCTCTCTCTCTCTCCATCTCCCCCATCCATCTCTCTCCCCATCTCCCCCATCCATCTCTCTCCCTCTCCCCCGTCTCTCTCTCTCTCCATCTCCCCCATCCATCTCTCTCCCCATCTCCCCCATCCATCTCTCTCCCTCTCCCCCATCTCTCTCTCTCCCCATCTCCCCCATCCATCTCTCTCTCTCCCCATCTCCCCCATCCATCTCTCTCCCTCTCCCCCGTCTCTCTCTCTCCATCTCCCCCATCCATCTCTCTCCCCATCTCTCCCATCCATCTCTCTCCATCTCCCCCATCCATCTCTCTCCACCTCCCCATCTCTCTCTCTATCTCTCTCTCTCCCCATCTCCCCCATCCATCTCTCTCCACCCCCCATCTCTCTCTCTCCCCATCTCCCCCATCCATCTCTCTCCCTCTCACCCATCACTCCCCCCATCTCTCTCCCCCAATCTCTCCCCCATCTCTCTCCCCCATCTCCCCCCCATCTCCCCCATATCTTTCTACCCCATCTCCTCCATCCATCTCTCTCCACCCCCCCATCTCTCTCTCTCTCTCCATCTCTCCCATCCATCTCTCTCCCTCTCCCCATCTCTCTCTCTCTCGCCATCTCCCCCATCCATCTCTCTCCCTCTCCCCATCTCTCTCTCTCTCGCCATCTCCCCCCTCCATCTCTCTCCCTCTCCCCCGTCTCTCTCTCTCTCCATCTCCCCCATCCATCTCTCTCCCCATTTCCCCCATCCATCTCTCTCTCTCCATCTCCCCCATCCATCTCTCTCCACCTCCCCATCTCTCTCTCTCTCTCCCCATCTCCCCCATCCATCTCTCTCCCTCTCCCCCATCTCTCTCTCTTCCCATCTCCCCCATCCATCTCTCTCTCTCCCCATCTCCCCCATCCATCTCTCTCCCTCTCCCCCGTCTCTCTCTCTCCATCTCCCCCATCCATCTCTCTCCCCATCTCCCCCATCCATCTCTCTCTCTCTCCATCTCCCCCATCCATCTCTCTCTCTCTCCCCATCTCTCTCTCTCTCCCCATCTCCCCCATCCATCTCTCTCTCTCTCCATCTCCCCCATCCATCTCTCTCCACCTCCCCATCTCTCTCTCTCTCTCTCTCCCCATCTCCCCCATCCATCTCTCTCCCCATCTCCCCCATCCATCTCTCTCCACCCCCCCATCTCCCCCATCTCCCCCACCCCTCCCCATCCCCATCTCCCATCTCCCCTCTCCCTCCCTCTCCCCCTCTGCCTCTCTCCGCCCCTCAGGTGCTGCGCCGTGGGGGTCTGCAGGAGAAGCTGCTGGTTGTGGTGCGGGAGCGTCGCGGCCACCGCTGCGCTCAGGCCGTGATGGTGGTGGTGATGGTGGCGTGGGAGGGCGTCCCCTCGGAGCTCGCCGACCTGCTGTACAGCGAGCTGGCGGAGACGCTCACGCGTCACGGAGCGCCCACCAGCCGCAGATGTGAACTCAACGACGAGTGAGTGGCAAGCTCGATTTGGCGCTTTTTGCCGCAGATGTGAAGTCAACGGCGAGTGAGTGGCAAACTCGATTTGGCGCTTTTTGCCGCAGATGTGAACTCAACGGCGAGTGAGTGGCAAACTCGATTTGGCGCTTTTGCCGCAGATGTGAAGTCAACGGCGAGTGAGTGGCAAACTCGATTTGGCGCTTTTGCCGCGGATGTGAAGTCAACGGCGAGTGAGTGGCAAACTCGATTTGGCGCTTTTGCCGCGGATGTGAACTCAACGGCGAGTGAGTGGCAAGCTCGATTTGGCGCTTTTTGCCGCAGATGTGAAGTCAGCGACGAGTGAGTGGCAAACTCGATTTGGCGCTTTTGCCGCAGATGTGAACTCAACGGCGAGTGAGTGGCAAGCTCGATTTGGCGCTTTTGCCGCAGATGTGAACTCAACGGCGAGTGAGTGGCACACCGATTTGGCGCTTTTGCCGCAGATGTGAAGTCAACGGCGAGTGAGTGGCAAACTCGATTTGGCGCTTTTGCCGCAGATGTGAACTCAACGGCGAGTGAGTGGCAAGCTCGATTTGGCGCTTTTGCCGCAGATGTGAACTCAACGACGAGTGAGTGGCAAGCTCGATTTGGCGCTTTTGCCGCAGATGTGAACTCAACGACGAGTGAGTGGCAAACTCGATTTGGCGCTTTTGCCGCAGATGTGAACTCAGCGACGAGTGAGTGGCAAACTCGATTTGGCGCTTGCGTAGCTGCAGGAATTAATCTTTATGTTTTCGGCAAAGTCGCGTAGAAATAAGAAAAGATGAAATGAATGGCGTACGGCTGTTTCGATCGCAGAACGAGCAGTCGTCATCAGGTAGGGGAAACACACAACCACAGAGATATATATATATACACAGACCTTAAGTAGAGGGAATTGACACAGATATATACCAGGGGATACAGAGAGACGGAGCGTCACACTAAATCAAAACACGGTTTAGCAAAATCTGAAAACTATGTAAAGCAACACAGACGGTCGGTCAAAACACAATGGACGCATGGTTCTGGTTGAATACGCTGTTTCAAAGTTTGTTAAATTGTAAGTTGAGTGTGAAACTTGAGATAGTGATGGAATACTTACCGTAGAGAGACCTATCGGGGGAGACACGCACACAGTTGAGAGGTAATACGCTGTTTCAAAGATTGTCAAGTTGTAAGTTGAGTGTGAAACTTAAGATATTGATGGAATACTTACTGTAGAGAGACATCATGGTGGGAGACACGCACAAAGTTGAGAGGTAATACGCTATTTCAAAGATTGTTAAATTGTAAGTTGAGTGTGAAATTTGAGATAGTGATGGAATACTTACCGTAGAGAGACCTATGGGGTGAGACACGCACACAGTTGAGAGGTAATACGCTGTTTCAAAGATTGTCAAGTTGTAAGTTGAGTGTGAAACTTAAGATAGTGATGGAATACTTACCGTAGAGAGACCTATGGGGGGAGACACGCACACAGTTAAGAGGCGAAGCAGCTCCGTACCGAGGCCTTAAATAGCCAGAGATGGAGGGGGGCCGGGGTCTCGGAGACAATGGGACACAGATTAGCGTGGACGCAAGTTGTCAGGCATGCAGAGAGAGGGCACCTTAGCAGCAGCGCACACTCAGAGGCACCCAGGCACACAGAGACGGCACAGAGACATGAACACAATTCAAGACACAAAGGCGGATACACCAGCAGAGAGAACACCGAGGCGCGGATTTTATACCGCCCCGAAGAGGTGCTTCAAACTCGTGCTTTCGTAACTGCAGGAATTAATCTTTGGGTTTTTTTTTTCCTTCGGCAAAGTCGCTTAGAAATAAGAAAAAGATTAAATTCCGTAATAGCGTACGGCTGTTTCGATCGCAGCACGAGCAATCGTCAACAGGTAGAGGAAACACACAACCGCAGATATATATTATGTATATACAGACCTTAAGCAGAGGGAATTGACACAGATATATACCAGGGGATACAGAGAGACGGAGCGTTACACTAAATCAAAACGGGGTTTAGCAAAATCTGGAAACTATGTAAAGCAACACAGACGGTCGGTCAAAACACAATGGACGCATGGTTCTGGTTGAATACGCTGTTTCAAAGATTGTTAAATTGTAAGTTGAGTGTGACATTTAAGATAGTGATTGAATACATACCGTAGAGAGACATATGGGGGGAGACACGCACACAGTTAAGAGGTAATACGCTATTTCAAAGTTTGTTAAGTTGTAAGTTGAGTCTGAAACTTAAGATAGTGATGGAATACTTACCGTAGAGAGACATCATGGGGGGAGACACGCACACAGTTGAGAGGTAATACGCTATTTCAAAGATTGTTAAATTGTAAGTTGAGTGTGAAATTTGAGATAGTGATGGAATACTTACCGTAGAGAGACATCATGGGGGGAGACACGCACACAGTTAAGAGGTAATACGCTATTTCAAAGTTTGTTAAGTTGTAAGTTGAGTGTGACATTTAAGATAGTGATTGAATACTTACCGTAGAGAGACCTATGGGGGGAGACACGCACACAGTTGAGAGGTAATACGCTATTTCAAAGATTGTTAAATTGTAAGTTGAGTGTGAAACTTGAGATAGTGATGGAATACTTACCGTAGAGAGACCTATGGGGTGAGACACGCACACAGTTAAGAGGTAATACGCTGTTTCAAAGTTTGTTAAATTGTAAGTTGAGTGTGAAACTTAAGATAGTGATGGAATACTTACCGTAGAGAGACCTATGGAGGGGGTGGGGGGGGAGACACGCACACAGTTAAGAGGCGAAGCAGCTCCGTACCGAGGCCTTAAATAGCCAGAGATGGAGGGGGGCCGGGGTCTCGGAGACAATGGGACACAGATTAGCGTGGACGCAAGTTGTCAGGCACGCAGAGAGAGGGCACCTTAGCAGCAGCGCACACTCAGAGGCACCCAGGCACACAGAGACGGCACAGAGACATGAACACAATTCAAGACACAAAGGCGGATACACCAGCAGAGAGAACACCGAGGCGCGGATTTTATACCGCCCCGAAGAGGTGCTTCAAACTCGTGCTTTCGTAACTGCAGGAATTAATCTTTGGGTTTTTTTTTCCTTCGGCAAAGTCGCTTAGAAATAAGAAAAAGATGAAATTCCGTAATAGCGTACGGCTGTTTCGATCGCAGCACGAGCAATCGTCAACAGGTAGAGGAAACACACAACCGCAGATATATATTATATATATACAGACCTTAAGCAGAGGGAATTGACACAGATATATACCAGGGGATACACAGAGACGGAGCGTTACACTAAATCAAAACGGGGTTTAGCAAAATCTGGAAACTATGTAAAGCAACACAGACGGTCGGTCAAAACACAATGGACGCATGGTTCTGGTTGAATACGCTATTTCAAAGATTGTCAAGTTGTAAGTTGAGTGTGAAACTTGAGATAGTGATGGAATACTTACCGTAGAGAGACCTATGGGGGGAGACACGCACACAGTTAAGAGGTATCGCAGCACAAGCAATCATCATCAGGTAGAGGAAACACCTAACCACAGATATATATCATATATACAGACCTTAAGCAGAGGGAATTAAAAAAGTATTAAAGCTTTCGTGACTGCATAAAATTACTCATTGGTTTTTTCGGTAAAGTCACGTATGTAGAAATAGCAATACAATTATATTAAAACAGAGGGAATTAACACAGATATACCAGGGGATACAGAGAGAGTGACAGGCGGAGAGAGCGAGATGGGGAGACACGGGGAGAGAGAGAGAGAGACTCATAGGGAGAGAGAGATGCACAGAGAGCAATAGAGACCCATGCGTGGGGGAGAGAAAGATTCACACAGGGAGACTTGGGGAAGAGAGAGAGAGAGATATACTCTAGGTCTCTCTCTCTCTTTCTTTCTCACACTCCCCGGGTATCTCTCTCACTCTCTCTCATTTCTCTGTCTCTCTCTCTCTCCCCGCTTTTTCCATCTCTTTACGGGGACAGACACATGGGGAGAGAGACTCACAAGGAGGTAGAGAGAGATATGTTGAGACAGAGACATGGGGAAAGATATGAGGAGAGAGATACAGGGACGGGCAGAGAGAGAGAGACGGAGAGAGAGATGGGGAGAGAGAGACACAGGGGAGAGAGACACACAGGGGACAGACACATGGGGAGAGAGACTCACAAGGAGGTAGAGAGAGATATGGTGAGACAGAGACATGGGGGAAGATATGAGGAGAGAGATACAGGGACGGGCAGAGAGAGAGAGAGACGGAGAGAGAGATGGGGAGAGAGAGACACAGGGGAGAGAGACACACAGGAAGAGAGAGAGAGGCACTGGGAGACACGGGGAGAGAGACTCACTCGGAGAGACACAGGGAGATTGAAACTCAAGGCCTTTTTCCTCTCAAGATCTCTCTCTCCCCACGTTCTCCATCTCTCTGTGTCCCTCTCTTATCGCTCCCCTTGTCTCACCGTGTGTCTAAGTGAGGGGGGGGAGAGGGTCTGGCTGAACTGGCAGAGATGGTACCCTCCCTACCGCCCCCAGAATCCCTCCATCACTTAGGCCCTAGATCAGGGGTGGGCAAATTTTTTGACTCGCTGGCCGCAATGGGTTATAAAATTTGACAAGAGGGGCCGGGCCAGGAACAGATGGACGGAGTGTTTGTGTGAACTAATATAAATGACGCGTTAAAAAATCATTACATGAAAGGATTTGGCCTTTATCAGGTAGCAAAGCATTTTATTTGCAAGGCGATTTAACGAATTGCACGAACGTGAACAATACAGAAAAAAACGTGTAACATAACTCCCGGGCAAAGTGCGCCATCTAATGGGGGAAATGGGGGCATTACAGGAGAAAGGTAAAATTTAATTTAATAATAATATTTTTATTTGGACAAGTTCAGCTGGCCGGATTAAAAATCCCAAGGGGCCGTACACGGCGCCCGGGGGCCGCACTTTGCCCCACGTCGGCCCAAGGGGTACCCCCAATGGCTGGCAAAGCCTCGCACGCCGAGTGGCATGATCGGCTACTTACGGCGCGACAGAAGATCAACGTTTGCGTGTGCTTAGACCGAAACCATGACAAGTCGAATGCATCCCGAAAACAACGTCCTAACCGGGGCAAACTCACTGACGGACCGGGAAGCTGTGGGGTGGACATCACTCCGGTGAGATGACTTACACAAATCCCTGGAAGAGACCATCATCATAAATTTTGATTTAAAGCTTTCGTGACTGCAGTAATTCATTATTTTATTAACACGTCAATAAAATATATATATAAAATATATATATTTTGTTGTTTCCCTTCAACGTGACTTTACCGAAAAAACTAAGAATAAGACCATCATCATCTTAGATTTGAAGCTTTCGTGACTGCAAGGATCCACATACTGTCTTTGGTTCTGTTCGGTAAAGGCACGTAGTAGGCAACAAAAATAAAACAACAAAAATTCTCACGACGTTTCGGCCGCAACACGAGCGGCCCTCGTCAGGTGAAGGGACCGGGCTGTCTCCAGCGCGGTCTTCGAGACAGCCCGGTCCCTTCACCTGTCGAAGGCCGCTCGTGTTGTGGCCGAAACGTCGTGAGAATTTTGTTGTTTTATTTTTTACCCACTACGTGACTTTACCGAATAGAACCAAAGAGCATCATCATCTTCCTCCTTCGCCAGAGAATCAGCCTCCTTGTCGAGTCAATCATCCCTGAAGGGCAAGCACGATTCCCACCTGGACGGAGCAGGAGCAGCTGCTGTTGTGTTCAAGTTTTGGCCTCTTTGCGATGCACATTGAGGCCAGACTCAAAAAAGAAAATCCAACACCGGCATATCCGTTGTGGACTTGTCATCGGCCCCTTGTCTCTCCCCACGTCTCTCTGTCTCCTCTCCCCACGTCTCTCTGTGTCTCCCCGTGTCTCTGTCAATTTCGCTGTCTTACCTTACCCTCCACTTTCAATGGAAATTTTCAACGTGATTCTAGCCAATGTGACGGTTCTGTCTCTCTCCCTCTCCCCGTGTCTCTCCCCCTCCCCGTGTCTCTGTGTGTGTGTCTCTCCCCCTCCCCGTGTCTCTGTGTGTGTGTTTCTCCCCGTGTGCCTGTGTCTGTGTGTGTGTGTTTCTCCCCATGTCCGCGTGTCTCTGTGTGTGTGTTTCTCCCCGTGTCTCTCCCCCTCCCCGTGTCTCTGTGTGTGTGTCTCTCCCCGTGTCTCTGTGTGTGTGTCTCTCCCCATGTCTCTGCGTGTGTGTCTCTCCCCATGTCTCTGCGTGTGTGTCTCTCCCCCTCCCCGTGTCTCTGTGTGTGTGTCTCTCCCCGTGTCTCTCCCCCTCCCCGTGTCTCTGTGTGTGTGTCTCTCCCCGTGTCCGCGTGTCTCTGCGTGTGTGTAGCCGCACGTGTGCATGCCAGGGCCGGAGGGAGGAGACGCGGGGAGCCTCCTTCTCATTTGGCTGCTCGTGGAGTATGTACTTCAATGGCTGCAAGTTCGCTCGCAGCCGCCAGGCCCGCAAGTTTCGCCTCCTGGGGGACAACGCGGACGCGGTGAGAGGCAGAGAGGGGCACAGGGGAGAGGGAGACATGGGGGGAGAGAGAGAGAGAGAGACACGGGGAGAGAGAGAGAGAGAGACAGTGAAAGAAAGACATGGGAGAGGGAGACATGGGGAGAGAGAGAGAGACACGGGGAGAGAGAGAGAGAGAGACAGTGAAAGAAAGACATGGGAGAGGGAGACATGGGGAGAGAGAGAGAGACACGGGGAGAGAGAGAGACAGTGAGAGAAAGACATGGGAGAGGGAGACATGGGGAGAGAGAGAGAGACACGGGGAGAGAGAGAGACAGTGAGAGAAAGACATGGGAGAGAGACATGGGGAGAGAGAGACATTGGAGAGAGAGTGAGAGAGACAGTGAGAGAGAGACATGGGGAGAGAGAGACATTGGAGAGAGATGAGAGAGACACGGGGAGAGAGAGATGAGAGAGACGCATTAAGAGAGAGACATGGGAGAGAGAGAGACGTAGTGAGAGAGACATGAGGAGAGAGAGAGAGACACAGTGAGAGAGACATGGGAGAGAGAGACACGGGAAGAGAGAGACACGGGAAGAGAGAGATGAGAGAGACGCAGTGAGAGAGAGACATTGGAGAGAGATGAGAGAGACATGGGGAGAGAGAGATGAGAGAGACATGGGGAGAGAGAGAGAGAGACAGTGAGAGAGAGACATTGGAGAGAGACATGGGGAGAGAGAGAGAGAGACAGTGAGAGAGAGACATTGGAAAGAGATGAGAGAGACACGGGGAGAGAGAGACATTGGATAGAGATGAGAGAGATACATGGGAGAGAGAGATGCAGTGAGAGAGAGACATGGGGAGAGTGAGAGAGAGAGAGAGACAGTGAGAGAGACATTGGAGAGAGAGACATGGGGAGAGAGAGAGAGACACAGTGAGAGAGAGACATTGGAGAGAGATGAGAGAGACACGGGGAGAGAGAGACATGGGGAGAGAGATACATTGGAGAGAGATGAGAGAGACATGGGGAGAGAGATGAGAGAGACACGGGAAGAGAGAGACATGGGAAGAGAGAGAGAGAAAAAGAGAGACACACAGTGAGAGAGAGACATTGGAGAGAGATGAGAGAGACACGGGGAGAGAGAGACATTGGAGAGAGATGAGAGAGATGAGAGAGACATGGGAGAGAGAGACGCAGTGAGAGAGAGACATCGGGAGAGAGAGAGGGACACAGTGAGAGAGAGACATGAGGAGAGAGAGAGAGACACAGTGAGAGAGACATGGGAGAGAGAGACACGGGAAGAGAGAGACACGGGAAGAGAGAGATGAGAGAGACGCAGTGAGAGAGAGACATTGGAGAGAGATGAGAGAGACATGGGGAGAGAGAGATGAGAGAGACATGGGGAGAGAGAGAGAGAGACAGTGAGAGAGAGACATTGGAGAGAGACATGGGGAGAGAGAGAGAGAGACAGTGAGAGAGAGACATTGGAAAGAGATGAGAGAGACACGGGGAGAGAGAGACATTGGATAGAGATGAGAGAGATACATGGGAGAGAGAGATGCAGTGAGAGAGAGACATGGGGAGAGTGAGAGAGAGAGAGAGACAGTGAGAGAGACATTGGAGAGAGATGAGAGAGACACGGGGAGAGAGAGACATGGGGAGAGAGATACATTGGAGAGAGATGAGAGAGACATGGGGAGAGAGATGAGAGAGACACGGGAAGAGAGAGACATGGGAAGAGAGAGAGAGAAAAAGAGAGACACACAGTGAGAGAGAGACATTGGAGAGAGATGAGAGAGACACGGGGAGAGAGAGACATTGGAGAGAGATGAGAGAGATGAGAGAGACATGGGAGAGAGAGACGCAGTGAGAGAGAGACATCGGGAGAGAGAGAGGGACACAGTGAGAGAGAGACATGGGGAGAGAGAGACAGTGAGAGAGAGACATGGGGAGAGAGAGACATTGGAGAGAGATGAGAGAGACACAGGGAGAGAGAGATGAGAGAGACGCATTAAGAGAGAGACATGGGAGAGAGAGACGCAGTGAGAGAGACATGAGGAGAGAGAGAGACACAGTGAGAGAGAGACATGGGAGAGAGAGACACGGGAAGAGAGAGAAATGGGGAGAGAGAGGAGAGAGACGCAGTGAAAGAGAGACGGGGAGAGAGAGATCAGAGAGACACGTGGAGAGAGAAATGAGAGAGACACAGGGAGAGAGAGCGATGAGAGAGACGCATATTCTTGATTCTTTCGGTAAAGTAAAATTTCTTGTTGTGGTTTTCACACCTAATGATGATTGCTTGTGTTGCAGTCAAAACGTCGTGATAATTTTATTGTTTTATATTTTTATTATTTTATTGTTTCCCTTCTACGTGGTGGCGACTTTACCGAAAGAACCAAGAATAATTTTATTGTTTTAATAATAATTTTATTGTTTTATATTTTTATTATTTTATTGTTTTCCTTCAACGTGGTGGTGACTTTACCGAAAGAACCAAGAATAATAATTTTATTGTTTTACAATAATTTTATTGTTTTATATTTTTATGATTTTATTGTTTCCCTTCAACGTGGTGGTGACTTTACCGAAAGAACCAAGAATAATAATTTTATTGTTTTACAATAATTTTATTGTTTTATATTTTTATTATTTTATTGTTTCCCTTCTACGTGGTGGTGACTTTACCGAAAGAACCAAGAATAATAATTTTATTGTTTTACAATAATTTTATTGTTTTATATTTTTATTATATTATTGTTTTCCTTCTTCTACGTGGTGGCGACTTTACCGAAAGAACCAAGAATATGAATCCCTGCAGTCACGGAAGCTTTAAATCAAAAAGAGAGAGACACAGTGAGAGAGAGAGATATAGGAACACGAGACGTACACCACCGTGCATTGTGAGAGAAGTGAGTAACTGTGTTCTCCTGCCCACCGCCCCCGTCTCTGCCCCCCTGTCTCTCTCTCTCTCTGCCCTTCTCTCTCTCTCTAGGAGTTGGTACTTGAGTCCAGGCTTCAGGCCCTGGCCACTCAGGTTGCTCCGGTGTACAAGAAGCTTGCCCCTCAAGCCTACAGCAACCAGGTGTGTGTGTCCCCCTTAGTCTCCGCCATGTCTCCCCGCGTCGCCCCGAGTCTCCCCGTGTCTCTCCGTGTCTCCCATGTTTCCTCGCGTCTCTCTGTGTCTCTCTGTGTCTCCCCGTGTCTCCCCGAGTCTCTCTGCGTCTCTCTGTGTCCCCATTAGTCTCCGCCATGTCTCCCCGTGTCTCTCTGTCTCCCCGAGTCTCCCCGTGTATCCCCGTGTCTCCCATGTTTCCTCGCGTCTCTCCGTGTCTCCCCGTGTCTCCCTGTGTCTCCCCGATTCTCCCATGTTTCCTCGTGTCTCTCTGTGTCTCCCCGAGTCCCCCCGTGTCTCCCCATGTCTCCCCATGTCTCCCATGTTTGCTCGTGTCTCTCTGTGTCTCCCTGTGTCTCCCCGATTCTCCCATGTTTCCTCGTGTCTCTCTGTGTCTCCCCGAGTTCCCCCGTGTCTCCCCGTGTCTCCCATGTTTGCTCGTGTCTCTCTGTGTCTCCCCGAGTCCCCCCGTGTCTCTCCGTGTCTCTCTGTGTCTCCCCGAGTCTCCCATGTTTCCTCGTGTCTCTCTGTGTCTCCCCGTGTCTCTCTGTGTCTCCCCGTGTCTCCCCGTGTCTCCCCGTGTCTCTCTGTGTCTCCCCGAGTCTCCCATGTTTCCTCGTGTCTCTCTGTGTCTCTCTGTGTCTCCCCGAGTCTCCCCGAGTCTCCCCGTGTCTCCCCGTGTCTCTCTGTGTGAAAGCGTGGGCAGTAAGTGAGCGAATTGGTGAGCGAGTGGATGAGTGAGTGAGTGAGTGATTGACTGAGTGGGTGGGTGGGCGGGTGAGTCAGTGGGTGAGTGGGTGAGTGAGTGAGTGAGTGGGTGAGTGAGTGAGTGGGTGAGTGAGTGAGTGAGTGAGTGGGTGGGTGGGTGAGTGAGTGGGTGAGTGAGTGAGTGAGTGGGTGGGTGGTGAGTGAGTGAGTGGGTGAGTGAGTGAGTGAGTGGGTGAGTGAGTGAGTGAGTGGGTGAGTGAGTGGGTGAGTGAGTGAGTGGGTGAGTGAGTGAGTGGGTGAGTGAGTGGGTGAGTGGGTGGGTGGGTGAGTGAGTGGGTGAGTGAGTGGGTGAGTGAGTGGGTGAGTGAGTGGGTGAGTGAGTGGGTGGGTGAGTGAGTGGGTGAGTGAGTGAGTGAGTGGGTGAGTGAGTGGGTGAGTGAGTGGGTGGGTGAGTCAGTGGGTGAGTCAGTGGGTGAGTGAGTGAGTGAGTGGGTGAGTGAGTGGGTGAGTGAGTGAGTGAGTGGGTGGGTGGGTGAGTCAGTGGGTGAGTGAGTGAGTGAGTGGGTGGGTGGGTGAGTCAGTGGGTGAGTGACTTTCCGTCTCTCTTTGTCTCCAGGTGGAGCACGAAGTAGAGGCTGGTGAATGCCGGCTAGGTGAGGGTGAGGGTCGACCATTTGCCGGAGTCACCGCCTGCATGGACTTCTGTGCCCATGCCCACAAGGACCAGCACAACATGAACAACGGGTGCACAGTGGTGAGCAGCTGCCACTCACCCAATGGCCCACCCACATGCTCACTCACCCCTGAGCTGACCGACGCGGTCACGAACCCACCCACATGCTCACCCACACGCACGGTCGCTCACCCATACACTGAACCACACGCTCACCCATCCGGTCACTCATCACACCTACTCACCCACATACTCACCTACTCACCCACTCAACCACACGCTTACCTAACCACACGTGCACTCACCCACCTACTCACCCAACTACTCAACAACAACAACAACAACCGCTAATTCGCCACTCAGTGGCGGTGACGTCACCACGACGCTTGTGCCAGGCCATGTGCACCCTGAGGCCACGTGAAGTGTCGAACGCCCGCTGGCAGGAGGTCACGGGGCAGACCCAGGTGCCACGGGTCGACTGACTGAGATGAATGGCTGATGCACCACCTGTGCCCCCTACTGTGCCAATCTGCTGTGCTTTAGCCACCCGGCGCTCCGCTCGTTGTTGTGAGCGTCGCTCCTCCGCCCTCCGTTGTTGTTGGAGGGAGACTGCCTCCAACTGTCCAGTAGCGTCCTTCACGAGCCTCCTCCACAGAGGCCGATCTTGACACCGTTGGTACCAGTCATCGGCAAGTCCACTCAGCTCCACGTCCTCCTGTACCACATCACTCCATCTCTTCTATAGCCCGTGCCGCGCCCATTTAGCCCCCTCGATCCGGCCGAGCAAAAGCTGTTTCGGCATGCGGTGGCTGGGCATGCGGGCTACATGACCCAGCCAACGCAGCCTTGCCTGCCGGAGGAGCTCACCGATAGGACCGTGCCCAGATCTTTCAAGGATTTGTGAGCTCCTCACACAATCCAGCCTGGATAAACCCAGGATGGATCGTAGGCAGGCCAGCCTAAATGTTTCTAACTGGCGAAGATGTTCCATTAGGGGGGTCCACGTTTTGCAAGCGTAGAGAAGGGAGGGAATGACCGTGGCCGAGAAGACCTGAAGCTTAGTGCGGAGCGACAGACCAGGTAGCTTCCACACAGCATTACGCAACCGATGAAAAGATATTGCCGCTCAACTGATTCGGATTGAGACCTCTGCTGTTAAACTGGAGCCGGTCATAAGCACACTGCCAAGGTATGGGAAACTCTCCACTCTCTCCACAACTGCCCCATCACCGATTGGGAGTTGTGGGGGTGGAGTGTCTGATGGTACAAAATACCCAGGCAGGTGCTTAGTTTTGGTGGGGCTGATGGTAAGGCCCCATCTTTTAGTGGCACGCTCCAGTCTCAGCAGCAGCGTCTCCAACTCCTCCTCTGAATGAGCAGCTATTACCAAATCATCGGCATACATAACGTGGTTGAGCAATAGGGAGCCATCCCTTGACTGCACCCGGGCATCGATCAGCCTCCCATTATATCTGTACCATATGGAGATTCCCCTGGTACAGCTGTTGAAGGCTTCACGAACTACGTGGTCAAAATTAGATGTTAAATAATGTGGGAGCCAGAGGACATCCCTGTCGCACCCCAAGGTGTACAGGGAATGGCTCTGACTCCCGGCCATGTAGTTTTACCCGGGCCCGCTCACCATCATGAAGGTCCTTAATGATCATGAGCAGAGGGTCAGGTACTCCAAAAGCACAAAGAACAACCCAGAGCCCAGGACCACTGATGGTATCATAGGCCTTGACCAGGTCAATAAAGCAGAGATGTAGGTCTTGCTGGGATTCCCTACACCTCTGCTGTAGCAGACGGACAGAAAATATGGCATCTGTGCAGGACCGCCCTTTCCTGAAACCGCATTGGGGCTCCGCAAGCCTCTCCTCAGCGTGGCTGGCAAGGCGATGTTGAATAATCCTTGCCAGGACCTTTCCCGGCACACTGAGGAGTGAGATGCCCCTGTAGTTGTTACAGTCTGTGCGGTTCCCCTTCTTAAAGAGGGGGACCACCAGGGCATCCTTCCAATCCTGCGGAACCCGACCATTGGTCCAGACTGTTGTTATGATGTCATATAGGGCAGTCTGTGCACAAACGCCACCCTCCCTCAGCATTTCGCTTGGAAGATCATCTCTGCTCGCTGCCTTTCCTAGTCTCAGACTCCGGATCGCCTTCAGTACTTCCTCAAAAGATGGCACCTCATCCAGCCACTCACAGGGGGTGATTTCTTCCAATATTTGAGGCACCGCAGCCTCAGCAGGATCATCCTCACTTTGTGCCATGATGTTTTCCTGGCAGAGGCATTTTCCATCCCCCAGGACCTCACAGAAATGCTCAGCAAATCTGCAAACCTGTTCCTGGGGATCGTAGATTGGATCACCGTTTTTTTCTCCTAATGATGGTAATAGGTGTGGCGCTGCAGGTTACTTTTTTGATGGAGTTAAATAGAGATTTGTGATCGCGGGCCACTGAGGCAGACTCCACCTCCTCAGCAACCCGCGACCACCACCCATCCTTGCAGCGCCTCACAGCTCTCCGAACCTCCGAGCGAAGGCTGCGGTAAGCCTGCTCATTCTCTGACGTGGGATTCTGTAGCCGATGACAGTGGGCCTGTCGCTTTTTCTCAACTATCCTAAACACCTCCTCTGTCAGCCAGGGTCTCTGGGGAGGTCTGGACCGCGTACCCAAAGCAGCCAATGCAGCTGCATGAGTGACAGTCCTAAACCTCGCTCATTTACCCTCGACATCTGGAGGAGTGGGCGACGATGCCAACCCCAGCCGCAGGCAATGATGGAATTCTCGCTTGCAACTTTCATCAGATAACTGAGACCAGGCCACTTTAGGTTGGAATGGGGTCCTGGGTGTACACCCACCACCGGAGTGGAAGAATGGCAGGCGCATCTTACAGATGACAAGTTGATGGGCAGATCAGCTCCACGGTAGGTCCTGGTGTCAAGGACATGGGCTCGCATCCACTGGTTCGTCACTATATAGTCCAGCTGATGTTCTTGCTTGGACCCGGCATGCATCCATGATGTTGTGTGGATGCGCCGATGCTGGAACGGCGTGTTGGTAATTACAAGCCCATGGGCTGCACAAAAATATAGCAGCCTCCTACTGTTGTTATATTGATCTGGCCCATGCCCTCCAATCACTCCAGACCAGGTGCCAGCATCATGACCCACTTGGGTATTGAAGTCACCCAACAAGATGACTCTATCCCGAGGGGCCACTTTAGCCAGCACCTGTGACAGGAGGTCATAGAAGGCATCTAACTCATCGGCTTTGCCTCCATCCCTCCACGGATGTTCGTCTTCGATGGGGGCATAAGTAACCACGACCACCATTCCTCGCCTCCGATTGATGGGAAGGCGAGCCCAAAGTAGCCTGGGGCTTACAGCTTCCCACACCTCACCGCCACGCTCCCACGCCCCCTTCATTCTTTGTTCATAAGAAGAGCCACACCCTGATGTTTGACAGTCTGCTGCCCCGAGTAGAGGACTGTCCACCCCTTATGATGGCAGGAGCCAGAACCGGTCCACCGGACCTCCTGAATGCCACAGAGATCCAGGCGGTACCGGTCCAGCTCCTGACAGAGGAGTGGCAGCCTCTCCTCCGCAGTGAGCGTTCGAATATTCCACGTGGCCATCCGTAGTGGCTTTTCGTTGTTTCTGGAGGAGCCCCGAGGGTAGAGATTCAATATCCTGGCTCCGCCAATTGCGGTTTGGCCAGGAGACGTCATAGACGCCTGGCCCCCCGGGGCCTCTGGCACAAGCTTTATTCATTAGATATTTTATACGTGGTTTAGTGGTACATTTTTGAAGGTGGAGGGGTTACCAGCCCCTCGCACCCATCCAGAGCCCCCGTTTAGCCACTGTGGTGGACACAGACGTCATGAGGGGAGGAGCCAATCGGAATTGGACCTCCCCCCACAGCACTGTCCACAACAGAGTTGCCCGTCCGGCACCGCGAGGAGGTAGGGGGTTGTTTTGCCGGACTACCCAACTACTCACCCACATACTCATCCACTCACATCCACAGTTACTCACCCACTCACATCCACAGTTACTCACCCACCTACACAGCCACTCACCTGCCTACTCACCCACATGCTCACCCACACGCTCGCCCACACGCCTAGCCACCCACACGGTCACAGTAAAAAAAATACACGCTCACTCACCCACCCGCGTGTTTACTCACCCACCTACTCCTGTGGCTACACTGGGTACAGTGGCTACATTGTATACAGGAATAGGTTTTACCCTTTTAACTGGCACAAAAACTGACACCTTTATTCAAGGCATCATGTCTGCAATAACCACAACACAAGCAGTCAAAATGCAAACAAAAAGAGACAACTCTGATAATAATATTGGCACTGTCCTTGAATTTGATTGGTCCACACCCGAGACGGCTTTTCTTAGAGCCTAGTCTCCATTGGTGTTGGACCAGAAGACGCCAAAAGGCGTACAACTCAAAAACAGCGCACTATCAGAGTATTGAGGGCTCGGGGTGAGCATTTACATTATGAGACCTCCTTTGCGTTTTGAATTATATAAATTAAAAAAAAGGAATGATATTGTAGTTCTCTCAGCTGACAAAGGCAATGCTACTGTTATCATGGATAAAATAGAATACAACAACAAAATTAAAGAATTACTCGACGATGGTAGTTATACAAAAATAAAAAGAGATCCCACCAACAGCCTCGTCACACAAACCAACAAAATAATTTCTGATTCAACCGCATTAATTGATCAATCTAAACAGTTTTCATTGAAACCTTCTGCTGCCAGGCCACCAAGATTATACGGCTTACCAAAAATACATAAAGTTGATACACCTCTTCGTCCCATAGTCTCTACTATCAGCTCCACCACCTACAAACTAGCTCGTTTTTTGTCTGAAATCCTGCGTCCTTTCACTGGAAAGACCACCTCTGCGGTACAAAATTCTACTCACCTGGTATCAACAATCAAGGGTATTTCCCTGTCCCCAGACGACCTGCTTGTCAGTTTTGATGTAGTTTCCTTATTCACCAAGGTTCCTGTACCTGACACCATTGCAATCATTGAAGACTTGGTTCA